GAGGAGCACAGCCATCCCGGCCAGGCAGGAAATGCCTATTTCCATCCAGAGCAGGGCAGTGACGGCGATGGCTTGCAGGGGGCCTGCCCACAGAAGGGAGAGGGGAGGGGAGGGGAGTCTGACTGTTACACTGAGGCTACCAAATGAGGAAGGAGAACAAAACGGGGAGCAGGCACAGCAGACCTGGAAGGCACGAAGGGTGACCCGAGAAAAAGGGGTCAAAAGTCCCGCAAACCCAGTTGCCTCAGGGAACACCCACCGTCTGTAGCTGGTGATGAGGTCGGCAAACGACTTTTCCCAGCCATACATCTTTATGATCCTGATGCCCGTTATCACTTCATTCATGGTCCGGATCCTGATATCTGTGAACGCCGCCGTCTTACTCCTGGAGGGTAGAGGTGAGAGGCGAGTCGGGGCGACGATAGGACTCCAGCAGCAGCAGGAGAGAGCAGCCAAGCTCGGACTCTCTGCCCAGACCAGCAGGTGCCCATCGGACCCCAGTGCAAACAGGGCCCATCCCCCACGAGGAGCACTGTGCAGAGCTCATGGTATGTGCCGGGGAAGACAGGAAAAGGCGTCTGCTCCGGGCCATCCGCTGGAGGATTGGGGCAATGGGGGGAAAAGAAAGGCCCGGGCATGCACAGGAACACAGGTGGGGGGGGGGGGGGGCACAGGGGGCCAAAGATCCTGGGCACAGAAGGCAGTACTTTTATTTTTTTAAAGATGAGACACTTGAGCCCTCCCTGGTGGCGCAGCGGGTCAAAGCACAGCACTGAGAAGCTAAAGGCACTTCAGCACGAGTTCAATCCCCGCCTGCCCCGGAGGTGACCACATGGCGCGGCAGACCTCTCCCGCCCTCCCGCTGCTCTCCTCAGCGGTGGACTTCGTCCATCTGCCTGTTCTGGTGCAGCGGGTCAAAGCACAGCACTGAGAAGCTAAAGGCACTTCAGCACGAGTTCAATCCCCGGCACCGGAGGTGACCACATGGCGCGGCAGACCTCTCCTGACCCGCCCGCTGCTCTCCTCAGCGGTGGACTTCGTCCATCTGCCTGTTCTGCTCCCCGCTCTGTCTCTGGTGAATCCTCTCACTTCCCCTGCACCTCTGGCCTGTACCCCAGCTCTGTGTGCATAAATAAATAAATCTTCAAAAAACAGAAAACATAAAACGTGTAACACCTGTATTCTTCCTCCTTCTCATCTGTTGATTGCTAGGCTGCGCTTTCCAAGAGTTATTATTTTTCTCTTGCTCTAACTAGGTGATGCGCTCTGGGACAGAAAGGAGAATCAGTGTTGACTGAGAGGAACTGCAGTGACCAGGAACCGAGTGTCACCGAAAAAGGGGGGGAGGGGCCACACGGGACGACGACACTTGAACTGTTCCCTATATACGGCTGCAATTTCATGTCAATGTGTGACAAAAATGGATGGCGATAGAAAATGGAGCCCTAGGGAGAAAACTCAATGCAGTCAAACCTAGTGAGACAGAAATCAGAGATAGGAGATACATACCTGAAAATGGCTGTCAAGAGAGTATAACAAAAATATATGCAAGCCCAGTGGTCTCAGGGTGAAATCTCAGCACCAACACTGCTACCGCCTGAGTCAAACCCCAAGCAGGGAGTGATCCCCAGGGCACAGCAGACCTCTCCTGTCTCCCCGCTGCTCCCCTCAGCAGTGTGTTTCAACAGACTCCGCTGTTCCACTCCCCTCTCTGTCTCCTCTTATTCTGCTCCCCACACTGTCTCCTCTTATTCTCCCCCTCACACTTTGAGCTTACACCCCAGCTCTTCCACACAAAAATTTAAAAAATACAAAAATGTATCTACATACAACCAGAATGGGGCCTGATGGATGTTGAGCATGGCACCGCTCCATACACACTGAAGTGAGTTCAATGTGTCCCTTCTACTTACTAAGGTGAAGGGGCCTGAGGAGCTGGCTGGTGGGGCCAGGGTGCTTCCCCCGTCCCCACTTCTAGATGGGCTTCACCTTAAGGCTAAAACCTCTACGGGTTAAGGCTGAAGAATTGAGAAAACCCGCAAACCCAGTGATTCTGGAAAGCGCTTGTTCTTTCTCTGAACAAAGGGCCCAAGCAGATGGGAGACAGATGTCCCGTGCACACGACCCACTGGCCACACCCGGGCTTCGCTTACCGGAGTGAGGAGAACAACTTCCCGATGCAGCTCTGCAGGGGCAAGAGAATGAGGAGCACAGCCATCCCGGCCAGGCAGGAAATGCCTATTTCCATCCAGAGCAGGGCAGTGACGGCGATGGCTTGCAGGGGGCCTGCCCACAGAAAGTGCAAGAATATCGTTACCTGGAAAAAAAAAAAAGATAGGCCTTAGGGCTTAGGGAAAGCAGCACTGGTAAGAACACCACATACAAACCACCTGCTGAGAACACCAGATGCCAGCGGGTATAAAACCTGCAGAAACGGAAAACCAGACATCTATCATTGGGGGGTAAGGAAAGAAGAGCTGCAGAGATGTTGGGGCGCACCCTGAGCAACAGAGCTGGGAGCATGAGCTCAGAGCTGATTCAACTCTGATAGAAAAGTCAGCCCCATGCCCCAGGGGCTCCCTGTACCCCAGGTAAGCCCTAGATTGTGGGCCAGTGGCCCCTCCTGAGTCTTCAACTCCCTGACAGGGTGTGGCTTCCGTAGGGCAGAAGCCCAATGCTCTTCATCCCCAAAACTAAGCAAGAGCCTAGTTCATGTTTGATGAGTGAATAATTGAAAGAGAAGCCGTGTGATGCAACACAGACATCAAGACAGACTAGGAGATCTGCACACCCTAGAAATGAAACATATTCATCAGGTGTGTGCAAAAACTGAGTAGGGTGTCGAGGGACTTGGGTGGCTGAGGGGAGACTACTCCCCACAGGAACCCCAGCGCGAGGACACAACATAAAAGCCACATCCCTCACTGCATCTATATTAGGTTGGAGGCAGCGTGAATGCATTGGCTCACGCAATGTCTGAAAGGACAGATGTTTTTATATTTTCCACTGGCTGTTACTTACAGGAGAGTGCCTGCATCATAGACAGGGCACAGGGCATGGGGCGAAAAAATCTCTGCCAGCAGTTCATCCTTCTAGAGGAGGAAAAAGAACCAGCTGGCACCACCAGCACCATGTGCTAAGAAAAGGGATTCCACGGAGACACTGGACCCATGTTGGCAAGTGTCTGCTATCTATCTCCCTGTTTCTCACTGACATCAGGCAACATGAACAAAAAGCAACTCAGTCTGCAGGGCAGTGCATGTGACCACATCTGTGCTTTCACAGGAGAAGTGACAGTGGCTTGCACAGCACCTTCATCCCAGACCCTCAAAGGAATCCTCACCTGATCAAACTTGTTCACATCACCCGACAGCAGGTTGACAATCTGGCCCGTGGTGGTCTTCCCCATGGCTGAGTTGCTCAGGCGCAGGGCCTGAAATGACAGGCGCAGGTGTGACTTCTGACCACACAAGACATGCAGGGAGCACAGCAAACAACTTCCCACTGGTCTCACGGGATAACCCCGGCAGCAGGGCTATGCAGAGACCCCATCCCAGCCCCTAAAACCTTGGCTTGCGGGTGACTAGGTAAAAGGCAAATCCCTCACCGCGTCTGATGTTAGGTTGGAGGTGACATGAATGCATTGGCTCACGCAGTGTCAGAAAGGACAGATGTTTTCATATTTAGGAGTTAAGGTAATTTTGAGCCACATGAGATGAGGGTGGAGCGTTCTCTCCATGAGGGAGACAAGATCGTGAATCTGCAGTCAGTCACTGACTCTGTGGCACAGCGTGGAAATAATTTATACAGGCAATGGAAGTAAACGCCGAGATGCTTCGGGTCTTGGAGTTAGTAGACAAGAACTAAAATGTGACTTCTATAAATATATTCCAATTAAAGGAACAAATTTGCAATATGCCTAGAGAAGAGATCTGGCTACATGGCAAGTATGTGCGTAAATGTGAAAGATTATGTTTTCCTTTTAATTTATTTGAAGGACAGTTTGACTGCTCAAAGCATAAGCATCTCTAACATTGCATTGAGAACATACTGGTGAAATAGGTAACAATATATTGGGGAAAATATGGGGGGATTAGGGTAATAGAATGTCAGTATTGCTCCTTATACTTTGTGATTAGTTCAATACAAACTGTAAAAGGACTGTAATAAGCTAACATGTCCATTTCAACCTCCGAAGCAACACGGAAAATACAAAAAAGTAATATTGTTAAAAAGTCAATAAAGAAACTAAAGTGAAATACTAAAAAAAAGTTTCAATGACCCAAGAGTAGTCAGGAATAGAGAAAGGGAGAACAAAACTCGTTTATTTATGGAAAATAAATAATAAGTGAAAACTTACATCAATATCTATATGAAATGTAAACGGACTAATACTTCACTTAAAAGCCAGAGACTATTGAACTGGACTAACAAAAGAAACACATAACCGGCGTCTATGTGAGAGGTGTCTTTAAGAACAATGACGTTTTGAAAGTGAAGACTTGTCATGTCAACAGTAGGCATAGGAAATCTGGTGTGGCTGTATTAACATCAGCACAACAGACAGACTCTGAGAAAAGGACTATTCAGAGATTTAAAGGGATCTTTTATCATGAGGAGGAGTTCAATCACCACCCCTAGACAGGTGTGGATCTGATTACAGAGCTCCCACCTCTGAGACTAGCGGAGAACGAACTAAATGAAACTTCACAATCATAGGTTGCAATATCCCTTTCTCAGTAATGGACACAAGTAGACACACAACCCTCCCCAACAACAACCAAAAATCCCTGAAGACAAAGAAGACATGAAGGACACAAGCAGCCAGCTTCACCCAGCTGACTTACAGGACACCACACCCAGCAACAACAGAGCAGACTCTCCTAGGGCACACTAGCTAGCCCTTCATCAGCATACGCCATTCGCAACGGCCATAAAATAGATCGACAAATTTCTAAATATAAAAATACTACCCAGAATGTGCACTGATTATAGGAGAACTAAGTCAGAAATCAGTAAGAAGGTATCTCATTATAAGAAAAACAAATATTTGTAAACTAACAATGAATTTCTCAGTGTGTCGAGGGTGATCAGATATCTCAAGAGAAATCATAAATATGTCTTGAGAAATGATAGTGAAAACATGCCTTGTCATCATCCATGGGATACATTGGCAAGGGCCAGGCTACCCACGTTGTATGGCAAGGTCCTGACGTAGGGGGAGAAATCCTGAAAAGTCAGGATATTCCACAGCTGGCTCCTGCTGGATTCTTTTCATTTGTTTATGGCCGTTTCCAAGAAGTATGGTTTGTGTTTGGCCATTCCCAAGAAGCACAGCAACTGTCCAAATATACATTCAATGTGAAATCAATAATTACTTGATCAGACTGATTGGTTTAATAACAATAGCACTGTACACAGAAACACACAATCCGTTATAAAATAATTAATATTCCTCTGCTTGAGAGGGCAGGGGCACAAATCTAGGTTCCAGAATTCTGGAAACCAAAGGCTGCAATTTCCTGCCCAGTCCCCAATGAAAGATCTATAGTTTTAAGTAACATAGCTTCCTTTTAAGTAATAGAGTCATAAAAAGTAATAAGTTTTCCCACTCTTTCCTTTAGATAAGACTGATAGGATAATAATTAGTGAACATAATTCTTATGTTAGATGTAGAGATTAGGTTGACAAAACAATTACAGGAATAGTGATTAATAGAAGCTCCTTTTGTAGATGAAAAAAGGGGTTTTTCCTTAGAAGCAGGGAAATGTCAGTGCACTTGGCACTGAGTGGTATTTACTCACTCCTAACTCCTTACCATTAGACCCTGCAGATGTATGTTCATCGAGAAATTAATGAAATGATTCCTTAAGTTGGAATAGCTTAACTGATCACGACAGAAACATTTTGTGTATTGATAAATGATCTCTTTAGGAATATTTTGTTTGATAACCGATCACCATAGGAATATTTGTTTATTACTGACTGGTCACTATAGTAACATTCTGTGTATGAATATCACATTATCTGTAAGAGATCAAAAAGTCCGAGCTATCTTTAAGAAAAATGTGATGATTGGTATCTTTCTGCTTAATGCACACACTGATGTAATCTCACAGCTTGCTGGTAATGTATAAATAAAGACATGCTGGGACAATCGTCAGAAGATGCTTTCACCCTAAGCAGGTGTCTGCATTCCTCATTTTTCTACCTCACCTTCTCTCTCTTTCCTTCACTGTTGCCGTCCTTCCCTGCGGTAGACCCTCACTACGTCAGCTGAAGCTGGTCTTCAGCAATACAGGTAAGCAAACTGGAGAGGAAACACGAACTTTAAATGTTTCACATTACAAAGAAAGAAAGGAGTAAAAACCAATGATCTAGACGCTCACTAAGACCCCAAGAAAAATATAAAGAAAACTATAACAGGGTGGACCCAGGAAAAGGGAAGATTCCAGGTTCCCTGCCCCACCCAGAAGGAGGGAGGAGCTGAGCAGACAAGAGCGGAATCTGGAGAGGAGACTGAGGAGGAAGGGAGCAGAATGGAGGCCAGGAGACCTGAGGAAGGCACGTGGCGCAAAGAGACATGTGAAGAAACTGTGCTTGCTTCTTCTTGGTCCTGTAGTGGTTGAAACAGATGCGTGTGAGAGACCCATGGGGAGGTTGACTACGGCGGCGGCATTTATCTTGATTTTGATTTTACTGTGTCCACCCCAGACTTGTCTGGCCATTTCTGACCCTTCCTATGGGTCCCAGCCAAAAGGTGCTTTAGGACTTGTGGAGGGTTTTTAGGCCTTGCTTTGGGCCAATCCCTTTTGGGTGGACTTTTACCCATGAGGGGATGGGTAACTGGGTGTTTGATTTAGTAACTACATTTGTCTTTTCTGTATCGCACTCTGATTGTATTAAAGTTTCTTTCCATTAAAGCTCTTATTTCTTGTCTTGATGCAATGGATGGCAGAACCTATTTAGAGCAGGCATTTTGGGGGTTCAGGGGTGCCCCTCTCTCCCTGCCCTGAAAAGAATGGGAGGGGAGGGGGAAGGCAGGGGCGGGAGAGGAAGGGAGAGGAGGGGAGGGGGGAGGAAAAAAGAAAGAAATCACCCTGTTCATGCCCCTGGAAAAGCATAAGGTGTGGTTTGCCTGCTGCCTTCAGGAACCACCAGGCCCTGGGAGCCCAGACCCATAAGATGTCACGACACAAGAATCGCCTCCGTTTACGAAGGGACATGCAGACTGCAACAGGAAAACAACTCTGACAGGCAGAACTATTATCCCTGCCCTGCAGATGAGACGACAAACTGGAAGGATTCGCTCCTGACAGAGAACAGACACTCGACATTTGTCTTGAAATAAAAGAGAACCACAGTTGCTCATTAAGCAAGAAAATGTCGGTTTGGTGCTAATCAAGAATGCGTCTGTCATGGCTGAACTTTCTGCCCAGAGTAGAGAGGGATGATTTGCAGATCAAAACCCAAGGGCCTGCCCTTTGCCGTCCACATATTCTGAGGTGGGTCTGTCCAGAAAGAACCCTGTCTGCTTGAATCTAGTTTCCTGGGAGAGCAGGAACATAAGAAACATGAAAGGTTCACCAGATAAACTGGAATCTGCATTGACACTGTAGGTGGCAGGCCCAGCATGAAGACTGTTTTATTCCGGAGTACGTGAATAATAGGCAGTTATTCCGAAGGATTATTAAAAACTGCCTGTCAGGAAAGGAAAAGGACTTAGCAACACATGCTGGAAATGCACTAGGACAATACTCAGGCAGCAGGGCCCCACCACAGCGAGGTGGTGGGAAACAACACTCTTGTTCCTCCACCCTGCTACTGACCAATGTCTGGTGGCACAGGGGTTAAATCTTCAGCTCTGTCAAGCTGATCAGCAGCCACTATGGCTTGAGTTTGATCCCCTGGCCAGGGAGCTGATCCACAAGGCCAAGCAAATCTCCCCTACCTCATTCAGTAGATTCATCTGTTCTACTCCCCACTCCATCTCTGGTGAACCCTCTCACCCCTACATCTCTAGCTTCTACCCCAGTTCTTAAATAAGTAAAAATAAATCTTTTTAAAAATAAAAGGAAAAACACAATGGCTAGTGAAATTTGCTAGCATTCAAATTCACCATTTCTCAAAAGACATGGAAATAAAAATAATTAAATGGCATTATTTTTCACCTAGAAATTGATGAGATGGGCAAAGATAAATATAATAGCCAATTCTGGCAAGGATCGGGACCATCTCATTTCACCAGGGAGATGTAGTCAGTTAATAATAACTCTTGGGGAAGCAATTCTGAGAAATTAGGGGTGTCTCCACAGGGTTAGCTATAATCATGTTCATTGTACTGATGTTTGTTGACAGAACTAGAAAACAATATCAAATTACGAAAATTTAGAAAGCAGTCTAAATAACCTAATAATTGGTTATATAATCTGG